ATATCTCTAGAAAAGTTATCACATGGGTGTGAGACTTGACTTTTTTAGAGATATATGTCAAATTTAATGGTGATCATTTAGAGTCATACACACATGGGTGTGGGAGGGTCTCGTAGGATCACTAATATATATATATATCATTTAAAACCTTACAATTGAAAGAAAGACCTATGTGATCTTCCCAAGAGGAATACAATTTTTTTTCTTTTTAATGATAATAATCACCCCTTTTTATTTCGGCATAAAGATCACTTACAGATGGTCTTTTACAATAAATAAATATTTCAAACAAGACAACAATAAAAATAAAACTCAACCAGTTGATGTCATTTTTATAACTTAATATTATGCTTGAGAATATAAAATAAAAGAGCAAAGTAAGTAAAAGAGAAGATGTCAGAGATTACCTCAACTGGGTTTATTACACCCCACACCAAGTCACCACATCCAATAGCGTGGGATCAGTGGTTTAGCTTCAATCTCGAACCGGGCAAGCTAATTTCGGCCGTACTAGGTAACCACCATTAAATCTCTACAAAACCCTAACTCCAAAATAATTAGGCTCAAACCTTAATTTTCTCAAGCCTTAGTATTTTTACGTCAATAGGAAGAGAGAATGAGACCTAGGGTTGGGGCGTGCCCCCTATGGGTCTTAGGAGAGAGAGAGGGTTAGAGAGAGAAAGCTTGAGAGGAGAGAGAGGGGTGTGGCCCCTAGGGAGGAGAGAGAGAGTGTGTGTATGAGATAGAGAGAGAGGTTCTGAGAGAGAGGTGTGTTGAGATGGGGGAAGGCACCCCTATTTATAGTGAAATTTAGGTCTAGAGTTTTTTTAGGATTTCCTATAGTTTGCTTCTTTCTTGAGATTGAATATGAACTGTTGATCAAGGTGACTTGTAGGGCGAAAGATCTGAGTCATCCATTTCATAGATGGGCCATCAACATTATGGAAGGTACATGAACCATTATCCTCCTTTCCTTAAACCATTTTCCCATCAATATATTTAAATAAATTAAGTCTATTAAATATGTCATACATTCAATAAAATTACATTATCCATCTCATATATTCCATAAGAATATATCAAGAAATATCAATTCAAGATATTCTATCAATAATCAATATAAGATATGGTCAATATTTCCCAAACAATATTTGACCATATGCTTATAAGATGGATTTTCCAAAAATTACAAAACTTGATATCAAAGAAATAACAAAGGAAGCAATGGGTGGGGCGTGCCACCCATATGTGGCATATGTAGGTCCCCACCCATTTGCCACATGGTCGGCCCATGTGCACTACGGGCCCCCATGAAAATTTTATACATATTTTAAATTTTATTTAAACATTATTAGAATTTTATATAATTTGTAAAATCAATAACTTTATTTTAATAATTCTAAAAATCATAAATAAAATATTAAAATATTCATAAAAATTCAAATAATAAATCTAAAATAATTTCTATAATAAAATGAATACAATTAAATTAATATGATGGGAAGTTGGTCTATATGGTTCAAGAATTCGATCAACGATCATGGGGTACTCTACATTCAACTGTGGACTACAAACCACACTTGTTTTATCAAACCGACTCAGTGTTTCCCATGACCCACAGTCCAAGTAGGGGCTCATTAGCTAGTCACCAAAATCTGACCGATGAGCCAAGGGGTTGCAATCCTAGTTTGTGGATTACAGGTCCTCCCCTAGAGACGAGTCAAGGTGACCACGACCTGATGCAACCACAGCTCTATGATACATAGGGATAGCTCTCTCGCACATGCATATGCTTCACCCAAAGGTGGACTTTCGCGAACGATCTATCGATATGCATGTCATGTAATAGAACATGGATGAGGATTTATCCCCCGTCTCTGTAGGCTTATCATCACATATAAGGGTCACACAGTCCTTCGGCTCACTCATCTAGGCATAAGTTCCGATCACATCAAGGGCTAACCCAAAATCCTTATCGGTTTATTCTTTATGCCTAGGTACCTTGGGTTTTCCAACCGACTGGCCAAGATCATCAAGTACAGTCTGGTATCCGCAAATATCATTTGCTTAGTATGGTTCATGAAGGACCATACTTCCACTGAGTTTATGTTCCACTATAATAAATGTTTTTCATTACACACTCATAAGGCCTTTAAAGGCCACGTACACCCAACAACAATAGAGAAGGTACCTAACAAAAGAATTAAAACAAGAGTGAGATTTGCATAAGGTGTCAATTTTATACTATTGAAGTAGGGCGCATCTCAAAACTATGCCAAAAGATACAGATTTTGTGCCAGATAGCCTTCCGATGGGATGAAAATCTATTGTCAACACCTAACTATGAAACTCAATCTTTAAAAACAATGCAGATTGAGCAAATCTATAAACAATTAATTTTTTTAAAAATGAATGGTCTAGATTAAAATTGTTCTCTCCGATCAAAGACCTAATTTGGAGTATTTTCTAAAAGAAAAAGTTTATATAAGGTTGCAACCTTATACTATTGAAGTCTGGTGAACTTAAAAACCCTACACAATATAGTTTTCCGATGTTGGAGAACCTTCCAATTGATCATCTCGACCTCGAGATGTATGAAAATAAAAACAAAAAAGAATTCCAAGTCTAAAAAATAGTACCTCTTATAACAAGTTATCTGAACTGTCTATTTTCAAGATTTTCAAGTGCTTATTTATCTGCTTAATCTGTACCATTTTTGAAATTTTGAATTTTATAACCTTGGATGAAAATAGATTTTCATGCTATCATAAACTTTTCGACACCAAGACAACATCTCGAAGTAAATTTTAGAGGTGCACCTTACTTTTATAGTATAAAGAGGCAACGTTATACAAACCTCGCCCCTTTCTAAATCTAAATTTTTGAGATCCACAATACTAGAGTGTTAAAAGAAATTAGATTATGAGTCTCCAACTAATTAAATATGACCATCCAAAAATCTGGTGGTATCCACTCAATCTTAAGCCCCAATAAATCTTAGGACGTTATATTTCTCATGCACATATTAAGTACCGAGTGATTTTTTTTTTTCTTTCTATTATTTTTTTGAAGTTCCCTAAGTTGAGGAGGTTACAACCACAAATTAATACTCAAAAGAAAAAGGGAAAATTATAGATAACTCCTCCAAAAAAAACTTTATATACATCCTACCTCCCAATTCTTTTTAAATTATATTCTAAACCCCAATACTATTTTTCTTTGTATTTCCCCCCGAATAAAAAAGTCAATGAGTTTTAGGATAAAATTATCATTTTTCTCCTTTTCTATCTTTTTTCTTTTTCTACCTCTCTTCACCCATCTTCGCACTGTACTTGTTTCTCTCTTTCTCTCTCTACCCTCCCTCACTCTTTCTCTCTCCATTTTTTTATGCCATCCGGCACACTCTTTGCCGGATCAAAATTTTTTTGCTGTCCTGTATGTTTTTGTGGTAGACCGTAAAAAAATTTCAATCCAGCAAAGAGTGTGCCAGACCGCCTAAAAAAAATAGAAAAAAAAAAAGTGAGGAAGGATAGAAAGAAAAAGAGTAAGGAAAGGTAAAGAGAGAGAGTGAATGAGAGAGAAACAAGTGAAGAGAGAAAAAGAGAGGACATGTAAAGAGAGGTTGAAAGAAAAAAGTGAAAGAAAGAAAAAAAGGGCAATTATGTCTCAAAACTCATACATCGAAAAATAGTGTTAGGGTTTAGAATATGATACAAAAAATATTGGGAGTATGATGTGTAGAAAGTTGATTTTAAGAAAATATTTATAATTCTCCCAAAAAATTGGGTTCCTAAAAAAATACTGAGGTAGGGTTTTTATCAATAGGGCATGTACCCATGGGAGTACATAATCGTCAATTGTTTTCTTTTTAAGTTTCTTCGAATGATAAAAACAAAAAGCATAAAATAAGATCGTTTTTCTTTTTTACAAAACCTAGACACAAGCACACCAACTTTTAGATCTGAAGTTGGTGGGTGGGTGGGTTACTAGAGAAATTTTTTTTTGACTTCATGTAGAAAAATGCCGTGCATCTAATTTTACATTTGACAGCATTTAGTGTTAGTGACCTTTTTGTACAAAAAGTAACAGTGTCATTGCGCATAATTTTTAAAGGAAAAAGGCCTAAACATCTTATTTTCTCATGTTGTAGGATTCAAACATGGAAGTAAAGCTTGTTGTGGATCCGGTTCATTTAGGGGTTCATTTACTTGTGGAGAAAAGGTTTGTGGCCAAAAATTCAGCCTATGCTACAATCGCTCTGCTTATATCTATTTTGATGCTTACCATTGCACACAAGATTTAAATATCCAAGCAGCCAATGCATTATGGGAATACAATGAACCTGCTGTGAAGCCATTTCCTCTCGGGGACTTCTTTAATGTGATCAATGAGAAAAAGGGGGAGGAGAACAGAGCTTCAATTCCTCTCCTCAAAGAACACTTGAACTCCAAGATCTCACAAATGGTTCAAAAGATGGAAAAGGAAGGAAAATTTGGCTCCATGGTGGGTCGTGCCTCCTCTAGAAAAGGTATGGGACAGTACTATGAACTTTTTTTTGCGTAATTATGGGGAAACAGGCGCCTATCTGTTTTTCAAATAGTTTACGAGTTAGTTTTTTTTAAGGTGTTAGTGTGGTGAAAACCACAAGGTGGTGACTAGGATGTGGAGGTGCTACCACCACCATTCCTACCCCTTTCCCAACAGTACAATGAACTCAAATCACTTAAGCTTTGGCTAAGTGTAAGCATAAACAGCTTGGATGTGGAAGGTCAAAAATTACAAATCCTTGAAGTTTGTCCCAAAAAACCAAACAAAACTGACATACCTTTTTATTTATGGGGTTGTATATTGTAAGACTATCTCTGTTAAAAGGATGCTACATTTACTCCTAGCCATTGGATGTCAAATTAGGTGGCTTGTGGTGTTACACAAAATTCAAGATTATTATTTTTTGACATCTAATACCAATTGTGATATAAAAACAGCTATTTGATTTGAAATCGATTAAAAAACACACAAATTTCAATGAAAAATGATGGAGAAAGATCGAAAATGCAGATTGGGCAAAAACCAAATTTTTATCTTCCTATTCCATTGAAACCAGATTTTGATTCTTCTTCTTTTTCCTTTTTTTTGGTGAATTAATAGGGGTGTCGGGCCCCTACCCATTTTATTAAAAAAAAGGAAACATATTTCGATTCAAAAAATAGTAGTGCAGATATTGTAGTATACTAAAAGGCCTACAAATAAAGATAAAATTAAGAAAAAATGTGCGAGAAATAAGGAATAAATATGAAACAGCAGCACATTTTATGCCAAAAAAAGATTTAAAGAAAAAAAGTAAGCGGGGGTAATCTTCAATTGAATCGATGATTCCCCAATTAAATTACCGGTTCATTGACAGAACCATGTGATTCACCAGGTTAATTCCCAAATTCATAAGGAATCAACCCAATTAATTGTCGATCTCAATTCAGATCAAACAATTCTAATCCAAATTGATTATTTTTGAAACACATAATGCACTATTGATCGTCTCATACCCACATTTTAACACTCAATTCCCATTTACGTGCAGATTTCGTGGTGGAACAGGCTTGAGCACAGCCTATCTGGCAAAGAACAAAAAGTAGATGGCATCCAAGGTTGGAGTTTGGTATCCTATCCTAAAAATAAAGTCAGCCGGCCTTCTACTTCCCTCTCACTTTCTACAATAGGGTCTCATGCCTCTGTTTGGTTTGTGCCTGTTTGCTATAAGTACGATGTTGGTTTTTTATCATAAAAAATCAGGTCCTCGTGGACTTTACTTGCCATATTTGTTATTTCTATCATCAATGGATTGACATGGTTTCCATGAGGTTCCTATGTGTTGGTCTCCATTCATCAATTCACTCAGCAAGGCATACCTATATAGGTGTAGTCCTAGGGATGAAAATCGGTTTGGTCAACCCGATCTAGATTTGGACGAGGCAGTTCATGTCTAGGCATGGGTTCAAAGTTCATTTCTAGCCCAGACCTATCAGGGTCGAAGTTGCCCTGATATGTATGTTTATGTGTGTGGAGAGAGAGGGAGATATTGATTGATTGATTTTGTGAGTAGTCTTGCCTACAGAATAGTTGTGACTTGGACAGCCAATATAGAACCAACCGACTCCCAGAACTGGTGGGTGCATTTTATTTAAAGGATGAAGTTTCTATAAGGCCGGGTTTTATGAAACAAAGTAAAGTTTCACCTAGAATCCTCATCCTCAAAGTAATTTGGGCATCGAAAATCTCTATGGTTGTTCTAAAATTAATTTTCAACAGTAACAATGAAAATTGAAACTCAAATAATAGTATCGATCTTGTAGATCCGTGAACACTTAGGCGAAATGGACAGTCTAGATCATGTGTTACAATATATGCTATTTTTAGGGCCTGAAATCCTCTTCTTTTTTTCCTTTTTTTTTAAACAATTGTAATGGTCAAGGCCGAGATGATTGATTTGAAGATTTTCCGATACCAGTACTGTAATTTTCAAAGAGATTATGTGAGTTGTCTATCCTACATAATAGTTGTGAGTTAGACAGCCCATATAGAACCACCTGATGCCACATCTGGTGAGTGCATTTTATTTAAAGGATACAGTTTCTATAAGGCCTAGGCTTTATAAAAAGAAAGTAAAGCCTCACCTTGAATCATCATCCTGAAAGCACTTTGGGTATCGAAAATCTCCATGGTGGTTCTAAAATTAATTTTCAATACAGACAATGAAAATCGAAACTCAAAGAATAGTACAGATCTTATAGATCCGTGAATAGGGCGAAATGGATGGTCTAGATGATGTTTTTACCATATACACTATTTATGGGGCTTGAAATCTTTTTTTTTTAACAAATGTAATGGTCAAGGCTGAGATGATCATTTTGAAGGTTTTCCAAACACCAGAAATGCAGTTTTTAGTGAACTTTTAGTTGAGGGTTTACTTATTTTGATAGAACTGCAGCTCTACCAAAATATTTTTTCTATTTAATTATATAGAGTACATTGTTCTTTATATTCATTTTGGTGTACCAAGGTCATTCACACTACTACCCAAACTTTCAAGTAGATATGATTTATAAGAAAAACGAAAATTTGAAAAAATGTGCACACTTACCGGCTGTCCAGATCTAGGAGATTGAATCTAGGCTTCACAGTCATTTCTAGTGATTCAGTGTAATGCCAAAGCCTAAAGCACAACCAAATTGAAGAAACAAGCTTAGGCATCAAGCCTAAAAAATCATAGACAAAGCCATTAAGCACAAAAATCATAGAAAAGCCACTGAACCCAAAATCGTGAGACCACTGAATCATGATGAAGTGGTCCATAGAGATAGCTATTCATATATGCTCTCCCCATTAGATATACACTATCTTTCTCTTAATCCTTTTTTGGGTAAATGCACTTTAACTCAGTATATTTTTGCTAGAATACAATTCTCCTGGAGACAAAGGTCTTCAGAAACTCTGTTACAAGCTACATTTCTCCTGGAGACAAAGGTCTTCAGAGACTCTGTTACAAGCTACATTTCTCCTGGAGACAAAGGTCTTCAGAGATACACTGTTACAAGCCAATTAGTTAAACTAGTGTTTCAAAACTCGCCTGAGTCCACTTAGACTTGGCCAAGTTACTCAGATTTTCCCTACGGGCAAGGCCTAATTGGGCGAGCTCCATTGGAACTCACTCCACCCTTCTAAATGTGGTGAAAAGATATTAAATAAACAGAAAAAATGACAAAACATTGGTAAACACCACCATCTTAGTTAGAATTAAGTTTTTAGAAGATATTGGTAGCTTTTAAGATGATTTGAGAACTTTCATGTCTTTTGCCTTTTTTTTATTTTTTCTGAAATATTCAAAATCTAAATCAAAACTTTTAATAATCCATATTTTATTAATCTTTTTCATCATTTTAGCCTTCTAAAGTTCCCTATTGCTGATTTCATTTTTTCCTTATTTTTAACTATTTTTTAAAAAATTGGAGCTTATTTTATTTTATTTTTGCTGCTGAGCACAGGCGGACTCAGCCAATGTACTCACCTCTATCAAGGCAGAGTACCAAGACGAGTTTCTACACCTAGAATTAAACAGAAATCATGATAAATCAGCATAAATCAGGTGCCAATCAATTGAGACTCAAACTAGCAGATCTCAATAGTCTTATGAATCAAAGTTGTTTTCATGTTAATAAATTAGTAAACTTGGTCCAATCTCTCTTCATTCATCAGATCACAGAGAACTTCCTCTGTTACAGATGCATAAGATCTCAACTGCCTCCCCAACTCATCTAACATATCATAAACATCCTTCCATGTCTTCCCTCCTTGAACAAACTCATGGACAACACCCCCTACCTCAATTGAACTCCACCCATGCCTCCTCTCTATCCCCAAATCCTCCATCAACTTCCTTACCCTCTCAACATCCTCCCATCTATTTGCAGCCGCATATATGTTCGACATGAGCACATAATTCCCACTATTTTCAGGTTCCAACTCCAAAAGCTCTTTGAAAGCCTTCTCCCCCAACTCAACATTCCCCTTCATTTTGCATGCACCAAGTAGGGCTCCCCATACAACTGCATTAGGCTTCGTCTGCATCGTTTTAACAAGCTCTTGGGCCTCATTCAAAAGTCCAGCTCTACCCAATAGATCTACCAAGCAACCATAGTGTTCAATTCTTGGCCTTATTCTATACTTATAAATCATGCAGTTAAAGTAACCTTGGCCAAGTTTTACAAGACCCATGTGGCTACAAGCTGTCATTATACCCACAAAGGAAATTTCATTAGGCCTAATTCCTTGTTTTAACATCTTTGAGAACACCTCCAAGACCTTATCCCCTAGCCCATGCATTGCTAGACCTTCTATCATTGTATTCCATAAGTATATATCTCGTTCGGATACTAAATAAAAAACTCTCAATGCATTCTTAATTTCTCCACAGTTTGAATACATTTCTATAAGAGTTGTTCCCATATATACATCAAGGCACATGCCATTCTTCACTATGTATTGATGAATCCACATCCCTGCTTGGAGTGAACCCAAATGAGCACAAGAAGAGATAGCACTGACAAGAGTTATGTGGTTGGGTTTGGTAGAGGAAAACACCATGCGATTGAAGAGAGAAAGAGCCTCCTTGTAGCAGCCTTTGTGAGTGTAACCACTGATGAGCGCACTCCATGAGACCACATCCTTAAAACACATCTGATTAAAAAGCTTTCGTGCTGATTCTAGATCTCCCCACCTGATAAACCCAACAATCATCGCATTCCAAGTGATGTTATCTCTCATGGGCATCTCTTTGAATAGCTTTTCAGCTTCTTTAATGTCGCCTTTCTCTGAGCAATAGGCGCAAATCATGGCAATCCATGAAACCTCATCTCTCTCTTGCATTTCATCAAAGCATTGGGCAGCCAAATCCAAAGAACCACAAGCTGCAAGCACTTGGAGCAATTGAGTTTGCACATGGACATCGCATTCGAAACCATGCTTGACAATTTGACACTGGGTTTGAAGTGCCATAGAGAGAAACTCAAGCTCCCTAGAAGCTCTAAGCACAAAGGGAAATGTGTAATTATCAGGGGAGAAGCCTTTATCAAGAAACTGTTTGTACAAAGTTATGGCTACTTGAGGGGTGTTGCTAATTGAATAACCTCTGATCAATGTGTTCCAAAGAAATACATTTGGTTGATGAACTTGTTCAAATACGTCTAATGCATAATCCATCCTATTCATGAGACTGCAAAATCCCATCATTTTAGCAACAATGGTAAAGCATTGAATGAACCCAGTTCCAGTTACTTGGGCATGGATTCGCCGAAACTCTTCAAAGTTGGAGCATCTCTGTAGAAGCGAAACAATCTTCTCAGACAAAATATTCATTGAAACCATTGGTGAAGTTCATTAATGGTGGGAGAATTGTCGGATACATCTTATGCAAAAAATTAAATAGATAGTGCTCTTTGATCATCTAATTTATACCCAATTTGGTGCATTGGCCTTTCCACCATTGTGCATTTGTTTCTCTCTCTTTTCTCAAGTTCAAAGAACCATTCTTACAAACTCATTCTTTGTGCGGTATCCATGCAATAAATGAAATCCAATGAAGCACTGTTGCAGTCTAATTCTTTGTGCAATATCTATTCAATAAGTAATTGTAATCCACAAAGAAGGTTGTACGCAGTGCAGAATGTTTAAACTCTTCCAGCCTTCTAGCAAAAAAAACAAGGGGACCAAAAACGCTTTGAATTTGTCTGAATGTCTAAGGCACAATGTTCTTTCGCTTACAAAGTCTATTAAAGATTTATATCGTTTATGCATGTCCTATTTTATTTTGGAAAATGATCTTATAAGCCACACTAAGAAGGGGAGGGAGTAATTGAGCAACGACAAAGAAGCTGTCAGAGAGAGTGATTGAACAATGAATAAGATAAACACGGAACTAATGTATCAAAAAATCAATTCTGTTTTGTACTAGGGAGGTTAATAGCTAAAGATATTTTTCCACTTAGGCAATTGATTGAAAAGTTTAAGACAAAAGGAAAAGACATCCATATAGTATTTTTTAATCTAGATAAAACTTACGATAGAGTACCTTGAGATTTGATTTAGTTTTAGTATATGTTAATATATATATATATATATTCAAACACCACATCAACTTGGTGAGAGATATGCGAACAACTAATGTGAAGACAAGTAAGTTTTCATTGACAATAGTTCTATATTAGGGTCAGCATTGAACCATACATATTTATCTTATTTATGAATGATTTAGCTAGGGACCTATAAGATGAAGTACCATGGTGTATATTGTCCGTAGACAATATAGTTTTAATTGACGAGACCCGAAACAGTGCCACCACAAAATTAGAACTTTAGAGTGATGCTCTAGAATCTAATAGTTTTAAAATTGATCAGACTAAGACAGAGTATATAAAATGCTAGTTTAGTAAGAAATAAAAATAGAGATGAGGAAGCAATTAATATTGACAGACAATAAATACAAAAAAGAACGCATTTTGATATCTTGGGCTGATAATCTAGAAAAATATAGTGATTGAGGAAGATCTCGCACATAGAATTAGAGTTGGGTAGATGATGTGAAATTGTACAATTAGAGTTTCATGTGACCACTGTAAACCAATGTAGCTGAAGGGCAATTCTATAGGACAACTGTGATACCAGTTTTACTTTAAGGGGCGGAATGTTGGGCAGTCAAGAAACAACATACCCAAAGAATGAATGTATAACATGGATGAATGACAAAACAAGAACGGATACAATTCAAAATAAATGCTGATACGAAAATTTAAGTATGACACCAATAAACGATAAAATGAGAGACAATAAACTTAGGTAGGTTGGCTCCATGCAACACAGACCTAATACAATACTTGTTAATAGGTACAAAATAGTTCAAGTAGAATGCTAAAAAGTAGCAAAGGGTAAACCTAAAAAGATATGGCTAAAAATAATGAGAAAATATATCATAATTTATGGCCTCAATGAACATATGGCCTTTGATAGAGCAGAATATAAGATTTTGGATAAAGCAAAATGACAAATCATGATTCATATAGTATACCCTCCTTAATTGGAAAAAAAAAAAGAGTTTTGATGATAGTGATGATGACTCAATCTTATATGTCATACAAGAAATGAAATACTGTAGGGAAAATATCAAAAAAAGGGGTTGAAAACTCTTTACAATATCATTGAAGGAGTCAAAAGATTACATATTACACGTGAGGGCATGCGATTGACCACTCTTTTTTAGTGGGTGAAGCCATGATACATGGGTACCACCTAGACCCAATCTTAATCAGATTGAAAATAAATAAATAAATAATAAATAAACATGGCAAATACACCATCATCTAGGCCCACTACAAATATGTCAAGAAAGAAAATAAAAATTAAATGGCACAATGCAATAAAACCCCTCCCTTGAAGCAAAAGTCATTAAGAATCATTTTTTATTGGGTAAGTAGTGCTAGGCAAAATACCGGATCGAGTACAGGAACCCATCCCGAATTCATTGGACCTGAACCTTAATATATAGTATGGGATCGAAATCAAGACCCAGACCCCACGGGTTTAATTTTTAAACCCGGACCCGAATCGACACCTGTGCTAGTTCCATTGGCAGCCCTTTAAGAAAGAGAGAGAGAGAGAGAGAAGGAGGGAGAGTCAATTCCCTTGACTTCCTATCCCAGGACACAAACGCAAGCTAAGACTAATAAAAATCTCCAAAAGAGAGAGAGTTAACCCCTTTGCATTCCTGCTCCAGACAGAGATTGAGAAAGAAAAAGTCAATCCATTTGCATTCCTGCTCCACAAATTCTAAACCATATTAATCAAAAGACCCCATTAGAGAGAGAGAGAGGTCAATTCCTCTGAATTGAGATACATATAGAAATAGAGATGTCAATTCCTCTGCACTGCTGCCCCAGTTCCCTATCCAGAACCAAAGTAACCAAAAGAACAACAAGTACAGAAAGAGACATCAAATCCGCTTTGACCCTATATCGGAATTTACATTCTCTTTCGAAGCAGCAAGAATATTAGAGACACACTTTATCAGAGAGCAAAGACCACCCAAAAAATTGTGATCAATGACCCCTTCTCCATCAATGACATGAGCGAAATCAATGAGCTTCACAATCCCACCATTAACCCCATCTCTCTCGTACATTATCAGAACCGAGGCCGAGTAAAAATGGTAGATAACCTGCTCCTCAAACCAAGCTTTCAGATCCAGAAGCTTCTTCAAAACCCCATTTTCCCCACCGTAGACTGAACCAGCAAATTTACAGTCCGGCTTCGCATCCAGATCCGAACAATTTGAAGAAACGAACCTTTCTAGAGCCATCTTAGCCCCTATAACGGTTAACCCCCTGACCCAATCTCTATCTGGTTTCCAAAACCCTAATTCTTCACCCCAAAACACCTGGAAACCCGAAACCCTAAACCCTAGACTTGCAGTAGTTGTCTCTCTGTCTTTGCTCAAGCATTTCCTGAAATAATCCTCCGAAGCTTTGGGGAACCAGGTTCTGGACCCGATCTTGAGGTCCAGGACCGATGGACGATTCAGATGGAAGGTGAGGTCCTCCATCGCGAGGTGGATCTGGGGTCCTGAGCCGTCCGATGCGGGCAAGAACTTGGTTCCATGGAAGAGAGGGAAAAAGGAGAGGATTTGCTTTGGGATCTCAGGGTTTGAGTAGAGAGAGAAATAGAAATTGGCTTCATCAGAGCCACGGTTGTTGTTCTGGAAGGGTTTGTAGAAGAGGCCATGGCCGTCGACCACTGGGCCGAGCTGAGATTCGGTGGCTTGGTGCCCTGCAACTTGGTGGGCCGCGGATTTGAGCATACTTGCACAGAGAGGGAGTTAGTTTTTAGGGTTTTGTGGTCTAGTAGAATGAGAGAGTAGGGTTTTAAGGTTTTGGGGGCTTTTTCTGTCTAGGTGGAGGTCCTTTTTAGAGAGAGTAAGAATGGGGGATTTGTGTTCATGGCTTTCTCTCTCCTGCTTGAGGCTTTCTCTCTCTTCTCTTTTCAACCGGGGGTTTGAAGTTTTTGTTGCAGGGGTTTTGCTCTCTTGGATTTCGTGGTCTTGCTGGCTTATGGAATGCGTAGTTTTCAGGCGAGGTGCCTTGGCCAACCACCAAAGACCACGTCATAGTCCCCATATCGACCATCCGATCCCTTGATGATCGGCGCTGAAACAATCATATGACTCATGCGACTTGAACAGTAGTGAAGAAAATCATTTCTCCATTGGATACCACGTCACAGTCCCCGTATTGACCGTCCAATCCCTTGATTCATCGGGAATGAGGTTGCCAAAATATGGTAAGGTTTATATATGAAAAAAGTTTATATAACTGGCGAGAGGCCCTAAACAATCAAATTTAGACACCAAAATATGGTAAGATTTATATACGAGAAAAGATGCATAAAATGGATTTCAAATCTTATAATGCATCTTCAGACTCTAAATTTATAAGATTTGCAAAAATATTGTAAGGTTTATATATGAAAAAAGATGCACAAACATCAGAAAAAAATGGATTTTAAATCTTATAATGCATCTTCATACTCTTAAATTTGTAACATTTTTAAATGTCATCGCAGGGCTCGATCGATACTATTTACGTGGCTTTAAAATTTATAATTAGAGATAAAAAAATAAATTTTCACATCATCACATTGATTTCTAATATTGAAAATTCGCCTTACTTTGATTGTTTAAGGCCTCGATCTTATACAAACGACATCCCATAAACTCCCCCCGTTTTTATCATTTGGTGGACTAGCGTTCCAGACTGATCAACGACCCATGATCTTATTGTTATCAAGACGCGCCCCGGCCCGCCCGCCCCGCCCTGACAAATCCTCCTGTAAAACTCATTATTCTCTCCCTACAAATCCGAGGTCTTCCTCTTCTTCCACTCTACAAATCCGAATTTCTCTCTCCCTCCTCTCTCTTCTCCCAGTTCAAATTTGATATCTCTCTCTCTCTCCTTTGTTTTGTTGCTCCTCCCTTCTCTCTCAATAAATCCGATTCTCCCTCCCCTTTCACTTTCTCCCATTTCAGCTTTGATCTCTCTCTGATTCCTTCACTTTCTCCCCATTTCAGCTTTCATCTTTCTCTCTCTCTATCTATTTATCTATTTATCTATCTATCTATCTATCTATCTATCTAAATCCATATTCCTCGACAATCCGAATTTCATCGAAGCTCAGCATTTTTTCTGGAGTTGGAACTCAAGCAATGGCTTTCCTCAAGCGTTTCGCTGTGATTTCGGTTGCTGTTGCGGCTTTTGTGGTTTACAAAACAATCAATAAGGAATATGGTTTTGACAAGGATTCGATTCTGCATAGTTTTCGTGGACTCTCTGAAAAATTAGGGCTTTGGGCCATGCCTTTCTATGTCCTCCTTCACACAGTTACCCTAGCTTTGTGCTTGCCCTATGCAGTGTTCTTCGAAGCTGGGGCTGCTCTCTTATTTGGATTTGTACCCGCTGTTCTCTGTGTTTTCGCAGCTAAGGTTCTTGGGGCTTCGCTCTCTTTCTGGATTGGAAGGTTATATCTCTATCCTTTCCCCTTTCAATTTTATTTCATGGAAAATGTGTATTATATTTTTTTTCTTTTATTTGAAAATCAGGCCTATTAAGATGATTACAGAGGTATTTCTTTTTAGAATTAACAAGAAATGACGAGCATTATTCTTCAAAAAAAAAAGAAAAAAGAGAAATGAACATTTATTTTTGATAAAATCATCAAAATACTCATATGAAATGAACAATTTAACATTGTATCCATATTGTTTGATTTAATTTCAAAATACCCATAAAGAGACACATGATCGTGAGTTGGAATAGCAATAAATGTCTAAAATGTTGAGTAGTTTATCTCCCATGGATATTTTGATAAATTACCCTATATTTTTTTGACTTAACGTTCAAATGAGAGATTTCTTCTGCAAATAGCTTGATATTCACGGTACAGGAACTGGTTAGGTTATATCTAATTTGGGGCCAAATTTTGAATTTTTAGTTGTATTTTTTAACAGTATCATGGATAAGCGTTGGCCAGACATTCAATTTGCAATTATTTGTCTTAATGTGCTGGGGAAAATATTGGTTGTTTTTAGTCTTCGGTAAGAAGAAATTAACAATATATGAAATTGTCGCTCTATATCACGTAAAACTTTTTTTTTTCTCCTTTTTTGATGATTAAATGATGTTGCATTAGTACTTTTAATACGTAATCATCTATGAAGCATGAGTATTAGAAACACCATCATTAAAATTTTAGTTTTATGAATAAATTCAATAGGAAATAATAATCGGTTTCTAATATAACTTTTTTGATAATTTATTGCTTTCTACTATGATATTAAGGAAACAACTACATTGTTCCAAGTCAATAACATCAATGCATTTTGAATGCTCCAAGCTGCTCTATTAGTAGTGCGGGATTCTAGTTGAGGACCGAATAGTTTTCCGTAATGCATATGTTTCAAACCCCTAAGGTATGTAATGAATACCAAGATGGGAGAAAAAAAGGTTGACTTAAAATGGTTGCTATACACTTCAAATTCATTGAAGCCCCATATCTTGCAATCAACTTAAGGAATTTTTTCTTGGCGCCAGATGTTATAGCCTAGTATTCGGATCATTGGGAATAGGGAAATCTAGTTTTTATCGAGATTACTGAGCTGACTCAGTGGTTGTTTGAACTTATTGTGTTTCACTTCCACTTGTTGTCACAGAGTTCGCTGCAATTAAACCTGTTTAGTGGCAGAACAGTATAAATTTAAGAAATAGGGGCCTATTAAACTTCAAATTATGTGGTACTCAGAATTTTTACTTGTGCTACTTAGATAATTTATGTTAGGTCTTTGCTCTTTAAACTTGCAAATTTATTGTGATACTGATCCTAATTGGTTCAACAATTGATAAATCTTGCAGTAATCCATTGTTTTCAACAAAGCCACGACTAGGAGCTGCTAAAGTATTCTGTATTACTCAGTTGGTTAGACGTTGGCCTTACATTTCCTCAATATGTTGATCCTTAAGTAGCACAATTTAACTCCACCACTTGCGTATCATGACTGCTACTTGAAAGTAAAAAAGGGAAAAAAGAAAAACGGCTATACTTGTAGCATATGGAATCTTTTTATGGCAAGCATGCCAAATATATACATGCCTGCTCTGAGCAATGAGCCAAGTGTTCATAAACATTTGCCTCTCCTAGTCTACTTATTAACTTGGGAACGTTTGATGGAACGGATGGGCCTCTGACATCTCATTGGTCAATGTATAGTTTGGGTATCTAAGCAGTTGCTGCATATGATTTCTTCTCGATCCATAGTTGATAACTGGGCCATCTAATGAAGTTAGTGGACCTAACATTTATCCAAGTGAATTTAACTTGAGTGAGTTATGAGACCAAGTTTTCCACATGGTCAGGCTTTACTAGCTTTGATTGTCGTACATAGCTTCATATTTCAATGGGTGGTTGTGTTTGTGCATATTTCTATGCTATTCACGGCCTAGCACCCAAAAGTCCAAAACTATGGAAGTTTTGCATGATAGTGATGGAGTTGACGTTGGAGGATGTGCATTATAAATCTCTCTCGCTGATATTTGGTATTTTCATATTTTTTTTGGGTAGTTCAGTGGTAGGAATCGAACTTGAGATGTAGCGCTGTTAAACATTTGCTGCTAATCACTTGAGCCTAAGCTCGATTCCTGTATTTTGCATTTCATCCTAAGTAACCTATTGTATTGCTTTATTTTACCCAAAAAATCAGACCATTGCCAGATTCACAGTACTACATGAGTGGATGTACGGTTGGGAGCTTCACATAATTAACCTTCCCAAAACAAGCTGAAGCTAGAGGTGACAATGTTTGGCCATGAGCTTAAGATTTTCAAGGGGTTGCTAACATGCAGATGGGAAGACTCTTGCTTTTAAGGATGGAACTCCGGATAACAGGCTTTGCTAATATGCTCTATAATCGAATGGTGTGCGATAAAAGTTGATACCTGCATTGGTTTTGGATAATGAAAGAAACTGCTGGTCCTTTAAAAACCCAAATCTAACCTTTATTATAGGCATTATTGGTTTACCTACCACCAGTACAGCAACCTCTAGAGAAATTTTCAGATCTTAGCTGGAAAAAAGAAAAGAAAAGAAAAGAAAAGAGAGAGAGAGTGAGAATTTTGAGAGGCACTAGCCCCTGAAGCTGATCACAGAGATAAGAGACAGGGTTTTAAGTTTGAAATTTGAGGCATTATTAGGATATCTTTAGAGTTTGGCTGCTTATCAAATTGCCAGCATATTTATCAAACCCATGTTGGTTCCATAAAAAAACTTGTGGCTTTCATAGATTATGCTTTTCAAGAACCATGCCACCTTGTCGATTCTTTCACACTTTTTGTTACCTTTTGTTCACAAGGTCACAATCACCCCAAGCCATCAGATGGTTGACATGTGTCATTTCCGTACATAGCTTATAGAAACCTTTCCCAATGTTTTAAAAACGGTCCACCCGGCGCCAAGGCTCCCACCTAGGCGGCCTGGACCAAAATACTGTACGCCCTGACCCAAGTGGTATTGATTTCACATTAGAATCAGGAGTGATTGTGAGTTTTTTGTATCAAAGGTAAAACAAAGTATCTAATTTGTATACTTTCCCTTTCTATATCACTTAACCCAAAATATTTCCTACTATGCTCCCTTTTTAGGTATACTTTTTAGATCTAAAATTTTGGCAATTTAATCTCTAGAACCCATAGAATAATCTCAACAAAATGAATTTCCGAAATAAACACTCTATGTACTAGAAAAAACTAATGCCTCACGATTGAATAAAAAACGTCCAATTTTGGAAGGACCAGATCTAAGTGTCACAAAACTCAAAATTCAAATATTTTCTTTTAGAATTAATCATCTAGTAATTATTATGTGGTTTCCAAAATTTTAGACTACAAAAGTCCTCCAAAATAGCTGTTTTGAGCGATGGAGTAGATTCTCTATATTGCTTCCGTGTGAGCATAGTATATGAGTTCATTACTTAAATTCTTTTACAATTTCTATCTTGCTTCTTGCCGTCTATTTGTGCAAGTATATTGATGAAAGAAACTGAATGTGCAAATCAAACACTGTCTGATTGGTTCATGTTTACTTGTTAATCCATGACATATCTAACTTCGGCTTGTATATATATATTTTAATCAGAACGATGTCTTTTGGGTTCTCCCTGTGTTGTTTCAGGACTGTCTTTAGAAGCTCAACCTCTGCAATGGACTGGGCTCGTAGTAGCAAATACTTCCATCTTCTCACTAATGGGGTAGCTCAAGATGGGTGGAGATTTGTCCTCCTCGCTCGCTTTTCACCGATTCCTTCATATGTTATCAGTTATGCATTGGCAGCCACTAATGTTCGTTTCTTTATTGATTTCCTCTTACCCACCATTATGGGCTGCCTGCCAATGATCTTACAAAACACATCAATAGGCAGCCTGGCCAATGTAGCGATAGGTACCACCATCACTTCTCAAAAGTCTCGGGTATTATCTTACATGTTACCCCTACTAGGAATTGGATCGAGCATTCTAATTTCCCTCAAGGTCAAGAAGTATGCGTCTGAAATTTCACTGGTTGATGAGCATCCGGCTTCAAAAGGTGCTAGAACCATCGATAGTAATTCTTGTGATTTATCTCAAAATTCTGTAAAATCAGGTGAGATTCACTAAGGAAAGGGCACTAATTTTGCCTAACTCTTCCTTCTTTTTTTTTTTTTAGAAATTTAGAGATTTGTGGACTATCTGAAATTTTGGCCTGAAATGGCAGCCACTTCAAGTTCAAGTTCAAGTCAAACATACCGATTCTCTTATGGAATGCAACAAGAAGTTAGACAAAAATATTTCAAATGCACATGTATGTGTATCTGTGTGTTAATGTCATGGTTCAAAATCCATTTTGACCAACT